AGTTTAAAAGCACTGGGAATATAGCTCACTTGTAGAGTACTTGTGTATCATACACAAAGCCCTGGGTTCAATACCCAGCACCACAAAAAATGGGGAGGGGTGGCAAAACAAAAAATACAGTGCTTCTATATATGACATTTCCAATTAAGTATCATGACCCACAATTGCATCTTGAAGCTCAGTACACACAGTTTTTTTATTTTATGTCTTTTTCCTAAACACAACATGACAGATGTGACTTTGTTCTAGGAATTCAAGTTTGTGTTTTAGGCCTTTTGCGACAGGCTTCTGATCCTGGATCGAAGCCTCTCTGAGGCAGTGCTTTCTCTCTATTACTGTTTTCTGATTTTAGTCAGTAAGAGGATGACAAAACTTATGAGTAGCAAACTATGAAGTCCGAGAAGTTAGGAGATTAAATTCAGTGTTGAAATCAAATAAAAATTATTCAGAAAGTCAAGGCATTGATAATGCACCAAATAGTAACTGGGTGTGATACAAGACAAATCACAGGCCCCCACCACTTGTGGTGACCTCACTGTCCCCAAATGCAGCAAGCCCTCGCCCACGTCCTGCCCTGCTCTCAGGCTGTGCATCCCTCTCTCAGTTCACCATCTCCTGCCAGTCCTCCCAAGCTCCACCCTGCCTAGTCTGGACTTCACTAATCTCCACTCTCTTCCTTCCCCCAGCACCCATGGGTGCACCTTTGTACCTCTTATGGAGTCTCCCAGAAGACTAAGTACAACGCTAGGTCCCTTACAAACAGTCCCTCAGGTATTATCACCACCATCATCATCATCACCATCATCATTATTGTGATCAAAACCAGTTTCGCCTCAGAAACCTTGGCAAATCTTTATGCGTGATCATCCTACAAATCTGTAAATGAGACTGTAGGGGTGCCAAGCCACAAGATTAACCAGCACAGCTACCAGGCCAATCTGTTCTCTGAAAATGTTCTTAGGTAACAATTCATAAGGTTTTCTGCCAACTAAAGAAGCAAATATTAAATGTGTTTTTTTCAGTTTGTTTTTGGAATATTAGGGGTCAAAAGCAAGGCCTAGTATTGGACACCAGGCAAGCATTCTAGCATTGAACTGCAATCCTCCAAAGATCAATTTAGATTTTATTGTGAGGCAGGGTCTCACTAAATTGTCTAAAGCAGCCTCAAACTGCAATCCTCCTGCTTCAGCCTCCAAATGGCTGGGATTACAGGCATGCAGGATGGTACCTGCCTGCCATTAAAGTTTTAAAACAAGAATGCGCTTCAACTGATTACAAATCTCTTGCCCAGAACACAGGCTCTCAACTGAAAGAAACAGAGTCAGGAAGGAGAATGAAAAGGTGAGTGGAACCTCCTCTAGAAGCACCCTACACAACTCCCCTCTTCCGTGGCTGCCCTAAAGACCCAGCAGCCAAAAGCAAGCTTGCTGGACCCTCCCCTCTGCGTTCCAGACCAGATTCCTTTCAACCCATGTATCCAAGTTGAAGTTCTCACAGGCTGGTCAGTGTGGGGAGCTTATTTGCAGGATCATATCTGCCTAGCAACCTAGCCCGAACCTTGAGGGACTAAACATGGACAGAGAACCAGCAGGCCAACTTTGCACAAAGCAATCTGTTCTCATGCAAATGTCCCTAAGCAAGAGGGCTAGAAACATCTCAGAGAGCCAGTTTTTCCCAAAAAGATACTGAGTGACTCTTTAAGGGCACCACTAGAGCCCAGCCCCAAAGGAAGGGCTAGAGGGGGCTCCACCTGCCAGCTGGGCTCCTTCAGACCAACAGATGAGAGATGAATCCTGACCAAGAGATGGGTGAATCCTGTATTGAATTTCTTGACTCTTCTAATCCTGTACTCCAGACACCAAAGGGTCTTTTGTTCTTATTTAGAACTAAACAGTTAATTGTCTTTGGGGGTTTTGATTAGCATGGTAATGCAGTTCTTTCCCTGGGCCAGTGAAAACAAGTAGAGGTTTTCATGCTTGGACTCACTAGTAAATGAGATGAAGCCAGTCTCTAACAGGGTAGGCAAAAGTCACACGCCTGTGGTTACCAAGGCTGGGTTTCCAGCCAAACCTCCATCACCCAAACCCAGATGGCTGGTGTCAGCTCCGGATGAGCTCTGCTTGCAAACCAGGGTTTGCCATGTATCTTTGAATATGGTCTAATCTGGGTGCATCCTTCAGTGCTCTGTGCCCCAACTTCCCTCATCTATAAATGCAGGTAGTGAGCATCATATGCACAAGGTTGCTGATGGGGTCAGAAGTCACACAGATGGCCCTCACTACAATGCTAGGGACACAGAAAATATTAATTGTAATTAGTGCTAACAAAAAGTCAGATTAATGTATATTAGTAGTGACAATATATTATTATAATCAAGTCCCCTCCAGCCAGATTTCACTTGATCAAATATGGACATGTGATTTTTCCAATACTAAAACATAAGACTGTAAACATCAAACACTGTGCTCATAGGACCTTCAGTTTTAAGAGTGAGTGTTTCATTTTAGTAATTAAAATCTGTTTCTTTTTGTCTTTTCCTGTTTTTTTTTTTTTTTTTGTACCAGGAATGGAACTCACAACCTTGCACTTGGCAGGCAAGCACTTGTGCTGCTGAGCTAAATCCTCGGCTCCCCCACCCCTTTTTGAGACAGGATTTCGCTATGTAGTCCAGGCTGATCTCTAATTTAGTACAATTCCCCTGCCTCAAGCTCTCCAGTGCTGGAATCATAGACATGGGTCATCCTGCCTGACTATAATGGCTACAATCTGTTTCTTAATATCATCACATGTGGATTTTCTGAGGAATAATTCAAAGACTCTCTCAGGATTTGTGTAGAAGCCCTAATAATAAGAACTAATCTATGTCAAGGATTTATCTTATGCCAATCACTATGATCCATACTCTGCTGGTATTATAAAATAAACAGACTTGAAGCTCAGTCACGGCCAAAAAAAGTTTTTCTGCTATGCAGTTCAAGCTGGCCTTGAACTCATTTTGTAGCCGAGGCTGGCCTCAAACTCATGGTAAATCCTTCTGCCTCAGCCTCTGAGTGCTGGGATTACAGATGTGTGCCACCACGCGTGGCTACTCCAAAATTAAACAAATCCTTCAAAATTCCAAAAGTTTGCAGTGGTGGTTCACACCTTTAATCCCAGCACTGAGGCCAGTTTAGGCTACATAGTGAGTTCAAAGCCAGCCTGACTGCATAGGGACCCTGTCTCACTAAAACAAAAGAAAATAAAATAAGGTAACAAAACATTGCAAAACTACTTTGGATGAGTAACACTGGCCATAACCAGGAACTCTCACTTCCTACTTATTTAACCCATGGCAGTTTAATAGCAAAGAATGGCGTTTAATCCAACAAACCGGATCCCTAAATCGTGAGGGAATTCAGCGGCCAAGGAACGATTTTTAGTGAAATTAGATCCTCGGCTTCTCCTGGCGGCGATCCTCCGTGCACATTCCCAAACCGTCTTTACATTTCTGACATTTGAAACACATTCTCTGAACCAACTCCTTTCAGGGGAATGACCGGTACCAAAGTCCGCAGGACAACTTGGAGATTACCGCCTTTGCCTGGCGTGCTTCAATTTGCCCTAGGGATGTAATGTTCAGAACCAGAACCCATGTTTCCGCCGTCTCAGGCTCGGAAATGCCTGAGATCCTCTGACACACTATTTGTTCCTTTGAGGAATTCGTAACTCGGGCTTCCCGTGCATCACCAACGTAGTTTGCAAAGGCCTTAAGGTCAGAGCCTTCGAGACGAGCAGCACCCGTCCTCTAAACCTGCGGGTCCCCTCGGAGGGGTTCCCGGGGAGGGCAGCCTGCACCTGTGCGCACGTCGCCCGGCGCGGGGAGGAGCAGTGCGCGCGCGCCCCGGCCCGGGGATGCTGACTCAGCCAGGCTGAGCACATCCCTCTCGCGCAGCACGGATGCTGTGGCTGCTACCGCTGCAGCAAAAGGGGGGGAAGGAAGCAAGGCACCCGAACAGCCGGGCGGCTGGCTCCCTGGGGCCCACTGCGGCACTCTCTCCCCACCCCGGAAGAGAACTGCGGGGGTGTGCGAGTTGCCGAAATTGGGGGAAGTGGGCGCTGGAGCAGGAACTCGGGCGCCGCGCGCGCAGCTCACACCCGAACTGGAAGGAACCTGTTCTGCCCGGGGCGAGCGCGGAGCCGCCGCTGCCGCCACCGGCGCGCGCGCCCCTTCCCCGCTAACTCCCCGAATCCCCGGGGCTCCGGCGAGGCAGGGGTTGGGCGCGCAAGGCGGTGGTGCGGGAGTCCCTCTGGGAAGGGCAGCGGCCAGCCGAGCGCGCTGAGAAAGCGGGTGCCAGTGCACCCCGCAACCCCGTACGCTCGCGGTTCCATTTCCATTGCAGCAAAGTGCTGGGGTCCATTCGGACCAGGCGCTGTAGAGGAGCGCGGGTGGAGGGACGAGGGACTCGGGCCAAGGACCCACTGGCGGGGGTGGCTATCCTGGGACAGCGACGCCGTTACCTCCCGTGACCCCCAAGCCCGGGCGGCCGGCGGGCGGGGCGCGCGCCCGGCGCGGCCCCGATCCACGTGGGCCGGCGCGCGCGCGCCAGGACGGCCCCCTCTTTGGCGGCGCTCCGCGCTCGCAGCACATGGTCGGCGGCGGCGCGCCCCCGAGGCCGGCGGAGACCGGCTGCAGCCGGTATAGGATAAGAGATAGGCAGCCGCGAAGCTGGGCCGGGGTGCGGGCGGCGGCACGCCAGGCTCCAGCACAGGCGGCCGGGGTGGGGGGCGGGGGGAGGGTGTGGCCCGGGTGGCGGAGTGGTGGGCGTGGGTGGGGGGCCGGGGTGTCTCGACCGGAGCCAACTTGTTACAGACTCAGGCCCACGCCTTAAGGGGTTAAACCTTTCTCATGTTACGGAGCGGCTTATAAGGAGGGGGAGGCCAAGCCTCCGCCTATTGGGAGCCTTTTGGGGTTTATTCTCTCCCTTCTAACTTGGTGAGTTGGTTTTATGATTTTTACATGTTTCAAAGTTTGATTGTGGGGTATGGGTTTTTCTTTTAAAAATAAGTGTTGGGGGTCTTTTGAGGAGGGGAGGCAGAGGAAGCCACTAAACATTGTAACATTTTGGAGAGGTTATTCCAAAACATTATGTGACAGTTGGGAATGCTCTGGGCCACCAGGATGACGCGCGCTTGCCAGTATGGGCAGCAGAGTTGCATGTCGACGACCCTGATACAGTCTGGGTCCGAGAAATACCTAAAGGCTGGCCTGGCTCCTGAGTGCCCCTCGCCCTGGGTGAGGGTTTCCTGGCTGTTGAGCGAGGCAGGAACGGCAGGTTTGAGCCCCTCTGGATTTTCCGCATGGAGTTGCTTGCGCGTCGCAGGAGCGAAATGTCAGAGGTACCTTCCTTCCCCCAGGCTCGCGCGTGCACGCAGAGTAGCCACAGAGGAGCGCAAGGGAAAGTGGGGCTCCCCGTCACCATGCCCGACATGCCATTCTCGGGGGTGGCCCACTTTGCCCCGGGAGGAATGCAAGGGTTTCCCCGAAGACTGAGGGTCCTACGCTGAACGCAACTACAGCGTCTCACGCAGGTCCCGCGCAACTTCCAGGGTTCGCCGCCAAGAAAGCACTGATGTAGCTTCTCGCTTCTGGAGCAAGGAGAATGGTTTTGCAGAGGAAATGGGTTATTTCCTTCTGGGTTCATTTCTTCCGCCTCAGCAGACAGGTGATAGAAGTTTGTTAGGTGTCATGTAAAATGTCACCAAATATGAGGGCCGTCGGTCTTAGGAAGAACCTCCCAGGAGCCAACTGGGAAAGAGCGATTAAAACTTGCCGACCTAGAAGAGGGGCTGTTGCAGCTAGACTCTCCTGCCGGCTTTGAGGAGGTTTCTACCCTTGCAAATCATAGAAAGATGAGTGTCTTGTTGAGGGTGGGGGGGATGCTTATGCTGAAAACGCTAGTGATGCATCTCTCCGTGTCCCAAAGCACTATTTTGTAGCATTTTATGGGGTCAATAAGACATCCCGCTGATCAATATAATAGAAACACCTCTTCTTGTAATTAAGGGGAAGGGTGTCCAAGATAGAAATTGACCTATGTGAATAAACAGTGCGACCAAGTGGGAAAACTCCTTATCTTAATGAATACCACTAGCCCAGCGTTTTCCTTCTGAGGCTTCCAAAACAGGACTTTCCTCAGTGGAACTCCTGAGGGAGACACTTAAATTAGGGGCTCAGGTTTCAACATCATGGGCTTGCTAGACGGGTGAATGGGTTGTACCCAGTGAGTCAACGCTGCACAGGCAGCCGGCCAGGTTAGGTTTGGGATTTCTTTTTTTTTTTTTTTAATAGAGAATTCAAATGAACTTCACCCAAACACAGACTGGCTTGGACTACAGGGGCCAGAGGCAACTTGTCAAAAGTTGTTCTCCAGGCTACACCTTTAAGAAGAACAGAGTTTAAAGTGCATTTGCTCAGGCTCTGCCATCTCCATCCCATTTTGAACTTTGAACTGACCCTGGGCTAGGTCTCAGAGGATCTGACATAATCCCAGCATTGCTATACATCCATGGCAGAGCCTACTCAACAATTTAAAACCAGTGAAAATTCCAGGTAAAGCCAATTTCTAAGCTTTAGTAGAATACCCATTTATCTTAAGGAGGGGGCGCCTTTTTGGTGTTTTTGAGAGAGTTTCACTGTATATTCAGACTGGCCTTGAACTCACTTTGCAGCCCAGGCTGGCCTCAAACTCAAAGCAATCCTCTTGCCACAGGCTCCCAAGCGCTGGGATGACAGATGTGTGCCACCATGCCTAACCTTTTTTCTTTTCTTTTCTTTTGGGGGGGAGGGTAGTTATCTTTTTTCTTTAAGGGAGTACTTAGGTAATCAAACCCTACTTTAAAATATGCCAAGCTGGCCAGCATATTTTGCCATACTCCTTCAGAACAGAGTAGTTCAGGAAAGACAGCCACCAGGAACCCAAATTTAAAATTATATAATTTTATAATTGGAAAATATTTGAGAGGCTGCTGTCTAAACCCTGCTTTTAGAGATGATGAAATCTAGGTATTACATGATTTCAGCCAATTAGTGGTAAACAGAAATTCAGCAACAATTATTGCTTGATGGCTTCAAAAAGATAAACTCAAAACCTGTGGGTCTTCAAAGGATTTGAGGAGAACAGGAGAGTAACTCAGAGCAAGTTAGGGTCAAAGACTATCACAAAATTTCCTTTTCCTGGTCAAGAATGTAGCTCAGATGTAGAGTCCTTGTTAGCAGGCTCAAAGGCCTGGGTTCCATCCCCAAAACCACAGAGAGACAGAGACAGAGAGACAGAGTTTCTCGGAGCAAGAAGAGAGCGGAGACCAGAAGCTAGTTCAGTTGCCTTGATTACCTGTTGGGGGATACTAAAGCACAACAGTGAGGTCATTTCCTGGGGCCCATAAGCTCACTCAGCTCCCTCTAACATTAGATCCCACATAACCAATGAATGTCCTTTCCCCCCAGATACGATCTAGAAACCAAATGGACAGGCAGTTTTCATATTCTAGGATTTGTAGAGCTTTCTAAGTAATCAAGTTGAAAATCCAGGCTTCAGCTGCTTTGTTTGCAGAGGCAGGTAGTTTGTAAAACCAATTGTCTTTCCCCTGAAAAAAATGGAAGAAAGAAAAGGAGAGGCAAGAAAAGAGTTTAGACTGCAACCTGGCACTTCTTCATTTGGTTTTTTTGTTGTTGTTGTTGTTTTGGGTTTTTTTTTGTTGTGTTTTTTTTTTTTTTGTCTTTTTGAGACAGGGTTTCTCTGCAGTTCAGGCTGGCCTTGAGCTCACTTTGTAGCTTAGGCTGATCTCAAACTTGCAACAATCCTCCTGCCTCAGCCTCCCAAGTGCTGGGATTACAGGCATGAGCCACCACGCCCGGCTCTCATTTGGTTTTATAAAAAATTAAAAAAAAAAAAAAAGAGCTAACATTGCTTTGGGACTAAGTAAGTTATTCAGTAAGCTTTTAGTGAGCACATAGTGTGTACCGATGCTGTTCCCCGCATGGCGTCTGGACAGAGCTGTTTGGTTGCCTTGTAGGTGCTTGCAATGTGCAATCTAACATGCAAAAGCAGGCTTTCTCACCTGATGCAAGAAACCAGGCTATTCCACTGTTACGGTCTTCAAAGGTAGATATAGTAGGAAATAGGATGCTTTACAATGGTGAAGGCATAAGCTTTGGAGAAGTGGGTTTGAAGTGTCCTCTGCACTTTATGATGATCCCAGTAATAACAAAACAAACTGTCCTCCAAAAATTCAAGACTGCAAGTGAAAATTATATTTGGATCTAGCCATAGCAGAGTAGCATAAACACCCAGAAAGGGCACGGACAGCAAGCAGAAGTCAAAAGTCCACTTTCTTCTGAACAGCTGTCCCAAAAGCAGGTCTCACCAGTGTCCACTGGTGCGTCCAAGAGCCATCTAGTATTTGCATTTTCCTTCCAGCTTAGTTTCCTGGGGTCACTCATCAGGTTTGACCTGACAAAGTAGTTGATTAATAAAATTCAGTGCTGAATTCACAAGTCTCAATGCTAAAGTTGGAACAAACCTTAAAGATTCCTCCAGACCAATATCACTTGACCAAAGAGAAATTCATGTCTGGAGGAGGGGAAGAGACTTTTTCAAAGTCATATAGTTAACAGACCAGTTCACAGACCTTTACACATAAAAATAAGAGAGCTTATACGTCTAATGAAAATGGCTTTCTTACAATTGCTACACAAAACATTTCCCTCCCTGGCTTTTAAAATGCTGCTGGATAGGCTTAGATAGCAGACTCCTGTAGGGTAGGAGATTTGATTTTGGACCATTTTAGTCAAATCCCTTCACCTCTGGGCTCAGTTTCTCTGCTTTGCAAAACAAGTAGAGGTGAACTCCAAATTCCTCCTCAGCTGCAAATCTGCAATTCTCATTCCATTTGGGGACTACAGGTGATCCTCACCCCATCCATTTTGCAACTGCAAACTAGTGATTATAGAGCAGAGGAAGATGAGCAGCCATTATCAGGACTGAAAAGTTGACCTGAGCCAGGGATGGTGGCACATACCTGTAATCCCACCACTCTTGAGGCTGAGGCAGGAAGATCGCCATGAGTTCAAGACTAGTCTGGGCTACATAGTGAGTTCAAGGACAGCCAGAACTACATAGCAAGGCCTGCCTCAAAAAAACCTTAAAACTTCATGGGTACCCACTTGTGCCAATGTGACCTTGAAATTAGTGGCCACTTAGTCCTGCCTGCTTGTCAGAAACTGGAAGGACATAGCTGGATGGTTGTAAATGTAACAGTTTTTAGTCCTAAGGTTTCTTATCATCATCAACACATATTTTAGTCCATAAAGGTGGAGACCATGTCTCCCTCTTTTCACTGTAGAATCCTGATGATGAAAACAGGGATGTGCCGGTGCTTACCTATAATCCCAGCACTCCGGGAGGCTGAGGCTGGAGGCCCACAAGTTTGAGCCCAGCCTGGGCAACTCAGTGACTTAGCAAGATCCTTCTCAAAGAAAAAAATTTTAAAACAGGGATGGAATGTAGCTCCACGTGAATGTACCCCACATTAAAGTAACCCGGGCTACATGAGATAAGTTGGAGTCCAATTATGAGGGACATTAAAAGGCTGAGGAGTGGGTTTTATTCTTAAGAAGGAAAAAAACACTGAAAAGCCTGAGCAGAAAAATGCCATGACAATGCAGTATTTCTAAAAGATTAATTGTACCACACACATGGAGCCAGCTAAGGAGCTATGATGGGAGTCTGGGCTTCAAAGGGAAAGGTCAAACTTGTGGCCTTACAGAAGGGCTGAAGACCAAGGCACTGACACCCACAGGCTCACTGCTGGCACCTCCCCGCTTCCTGCCCGCATCCTCCCTTCCCCCCCCCCCAGCCAGTGTTCTAACGCCAGCCCCGGGAAGGACTCTTTTTCAGTCTCCTGAATCATGAGGCTAATGCAGTTTCACTCCTCTGCCTGGCTGCCTCAGCCGGAGAGTGACTTATGAAAGGTTTCAAAGGAGGGCAGGGGGCAAGCTGGAGGGCTCCTGGCTCCCACCTTACAGCAGCTGCTTCTCATATTGGGGACACTAATGACCATGCTGTCACTGCTCTCAAGCTGTGTTCCTGCACTTGGGTACCACGCATCCCTGCAGAGGCTTCTGCTGCAGACAGCACAGGCTTCTCAAAGCATCAATGCCCCAGTTCCCCAAGCTAAGTATTTAACAGTACCAGAGTATAAATAGTGGTGCAGAGTCCTTCTCAAGTCCTAGGCTACTGTGGGAAAGGAATAGTCTATAAGATGAATAATATGAAGCTGGGTCAGACTGGTGCTATTTAAGACTTCTAAAGTTAATTCAGAATATTAGATCTTACGATTAGAAATCACAAGTCCATGGCAGATAAGCGTCCATCCTACTTTCCACTTGCCACCATTGTGGATAAAACCTTTGTGTTTTAACTTGAACATAAAAAAAACCCAGAAGGCTATCCATGCACCCTTCCACAGCTTTTCTGTTTGTTTTTTGAGACAGGTCTCACAGGGCAGTCCAGGCTGGCCTTGAGTTCACTGTATAATCCAGGTTGACCTCACACTCAACCACCATCCTCCTGCCTCAGCCTCCTTTGTGCTGGGAGTGTAGGTGTGTGCCACCATGCCCGACTTCAGACAGCCTTTTTTACCTGTATACAATTATGTAGAATTCCTAAACTTGAGGTTGGTTACCAGTAAGAGCTCTAAGGCCACAGATTTTATTATTATGAGTGCCATTAATTTTTTTAGCTAAAATATATATATCATGTTTGAAAAACATGTAACTCTGGAGGCTTTGCTGTATTTCTACGGTAGAGCGCAGTGCAAAAAACTTAAATTAAACCAGCCTCCCTCCAGGGTAGACAGTGACTCCTCCCACCTGATAGTGTTAAGGCCCAGGTCTTCTTGTTCTGATGTTTCTTACAATTTGAAAGGGTAACTTGGTTAACTGGTGCACAGACAAGGTCTTGCAGGTTGGTGCAGAGCCTTATTTAGTCACTGTAATCTAGAATATCTGTCACAAGCTCAGAAACGTAATAGTTAATATACCAAGTGGTGATCAACTTTGAGGAATCTATGCTCCCCAAACTCTCAGAAGACAGAAGTCCACATTTTGATGTCTGGTGACATTCTGTCCTTGTAGATACAGGAAACAAAAGCATAGATCAGAGTCCAGCTCACTGGGTGGGAAGTAGAAGCAGGAGGCCTTGGCCAGGTAGTCTCTAGGCCAGTGGCATCAAGCAGAGATGTATATGGCGTCTCTAGTTCTTGTCGTAAGGCCCTAGAACATGCTGTTGGCATTTGCCCTTCACAGTCCCTTTTCCAGATTTCACTTCCGATGAATATTCTTCATGATCATTTCTGCCCTTGCCTTATTTGTCTCCTTCAAATCAATCAGCATCAATTTGTCTCCATCAGCAAATACTTGATCTGGGGGCCACTCTGTGCCCTTCAGAAGACCTCTAAATATTTTGCTGTAATTCCTTGTGGGTTTTTTCCCATTTAACTATCACATGGAAGTCTTCCAGGTCCAAAGACAGATAAACAGAGAAGGAGGTACACTGACAGACTGGTAGACAGATAAAAAATAGTCCAAAGACTATATATGTACTTTATATGAGTTAAGTAGTCAACAATCTAAGAAACGTGTTAAGTGGTTCTTGCCTATGATGTTTACTGGAGTATTTGAATAACCAACCCTAATGCTACTGGTGGTCTGAACTGATTTTTGTTGTTGTTGTTGTTTTTAATTTAAGCTCAAGAATGACCCAAAAGAAATCAAAGCTTTGTTGCAGAGCCAATGTGTATACGCAAGTGCCTGATGGAGGATGGGGTTGGGCCGTAGCTGTTTCGTTTTTCTTCGTTGAAGTCTTCACATATGGCATCATCAAGTCATTTGGGGTCTTCTTTAATGACTTAATGGACAGTTTTGATCAATCTAACAGCAAGATCTCATGGATAGTATCAATATGTGTGTTTGTCTTGACATTTTCAGGTGAGTACCTCTCCCATCTAACCATAGTATAAGCACCCGCTGCTGTTAACTTATCCAAGCATAATGGTAGTCGCCGTGGCTGGAAGACATTCCCTGATAGGTCTTCTTGGCCTTCCTGAGTCTCAATTAAGAAATACAGTTTTCAGAGTTTGGAATTTGTCAAGAAAACAGGAGGCACTAAAGAAAAAAGCCATACTTGTCAACTCTGACTGCCTTGAGCTGAATATACTATATTACATATTCACTGCCATATACTCTTAGGATTCCATAGAGCTCTTTGAGGGTAGCAGTCAATCCTGGTTCTATGAGCATGTAATGACAGTCTGAAGAGGTGACATCGAAAAGTTCTTAGCATGTTAGACCTGGTTTAATCCAAGCATGCCCAGAAAACAGGTTAGAAACATGTCAGTGTAGATACATGAAGATGCAGGATGTGTAAAAGCATAGACACAGTCTTCTATATCCAGAGGGTCCTGCCCGGTGGAAATTCAGTCAACTGCAGATTAAAAATTTACAGAAGTTGAACAAGATGAGCTCCGAATTCCCTCCCAGAAATTCAACTGGCATTGCTGGTGACAGGTGCTATGTAAATGGCTGTGCCTATATTAAACATGCCCAGATTTCTTTTTCTTGTCGTTGTTGCCTAACAAGTGCAGTGTAAGTGTTCCCGTATTGTTTATATCATATTAGGTATTATCAGTAGTCCAGAGATGACAAAGTATACAGGATGTGCCTAAGTTAATATGCAAAAAATGCTAAGCGGGAACCTGAGAATCTTCGGACTGTTACTGTCAGGGGTTGCTAGAAACAATGCCCTGGAGATCCTGACAGGAAACTTTAGTAATGCAAGATTACAGACCTGTCCTGGGGAGACACCACATTCCAGACACCTAACTCCCCGAGGGCCTGAACTGACTCTCACAGACCCAACTGCAAAAGATAAAATGGGTTTGGCATCATTTTTAACATACTAGCATTTACTTGGTCCTGCATGCTTGATGGTCTGACATATCCAGCCGTCTCATCAGTGGCAATGGCAAGGCTTTCCTGAGAGACCAAAGCTGTGAACTCATTTTAGAAATCCAGTCAAAAACTAAAATAAAACACAAAAAACCAGGCAGGCCAGGCTAGTGTGGTGGCCCATCACTGTAATTCCAGCACTGTGGGAGGCTGAGGCAGGATGATCATGAATTCAAGCCCAACCTAAGCAATTTAATGATATACCTCAAATGATATACCCTGTCTCAAAATGATAAAAAGAGCTAGGGACATAGTTCAATCCCCAGAACCACCCCCCAAAATATACGTATATATATGCTAGAGCTGATCTTAATCTTCCCTAACTTACCCTAATATCCTATTATGCAACTATTACTTCTGAAGTTAGGAAGGTAATTCTCAATGATACAATTCTAGTTTTTAAGGCTTTGAGCCAACATATTGGCTCAAAATTATGATAATGGTCTTATTATTAGCTATGTTCAACATGTTTGGATTCTAATAATTACAATGAATGTATATATGGACTCACTCCAACAAAACTGAATCCCATTTTAAAAAGAAAAAATCCTTTGAACCTGACCTTTTCTACCCAGCTTCTGTTCTGGCTTTGGCTCAGCTCTCCCCGGTTCACTCATCTCGGCGTATTCAAGTCAGCCCTGACTAATGTGGAGCTAGGAAACTAACGTGCTGGGTTTAAATGGCTCAGTGGGTAAGGTATTACAGAAGCCAAGCAACTTAGGATTCATCAGCCTCTTTGAATCATCTGTCATACAGCTATCTCCTTTTAGGTCTGCATAACTGAAAATTTACTTATATCATTTTCAGAAAAGTCACAAGTAACAGAATCTTGCCATGACTATTAAAAAAAATACTCCAAAGCAATGAATACAGGGGGAAAAAAGATTCAAACAACTATAAGGAAACCAGTTTGTATTGCAGAGTAACATAAATATATATCTAACTTTATAGCTGCTCACAGTGAGCCAGGACCTTAAAATCTATGTCTATAGATAACAGAGATTGGAGTTTTATACTCTTGTTGCTCTGAGTTTCTTTGAGTTCTTGGTGCTGGGGACTGAACCCAGGGCCTTGTGTGCTAGGTAAATTCCATCACTAAGTCATGCCCCTAACCCTTGGCTTTCTTTTTTCTTTTCTTTCGTTGTTTGTTTGAGGTAGGGTCTCACTGTGTATTTCAGGCTGGCCTTGAACTCACTATGATCCTCCTGCCTCAGCCTCCTGAGTGCTGCTAGGATTACAGGTGTGTGCTAGGGATTAGCTCAGCGGCATAAGTGCCTGCCTTGCAAGTGAGAGGCCTTGAGTTCGATCCCTGGTACCAAAAAAAAAAAAGATAAGAAAAATGTACCACCACACTGTCTTCGTCTTTAACAAGACCAAAGAATCATGACTAATTTGAACAAACACTAAAATATATTTCTAAACGGACATCAGTAGCCATTGCACAGCATGCGTTACATACTTAGAACTAGCCCTCCAGGTTTAAGGTGGGAAGGAGGAACCCGAATGGGCTGAAGCCAGCACCAGTGCTTCTGAGATCATCATCAGTCACTCTGGTTCCTTTCCCTGCAGCTCCCCTCTCCACGGTCCTGAGCAATCGCTTTGGAACCCGCATAGTGGTGATGGGGGGCGGGCTGCTGGTCAGCACCGGGATGGTGGCCGCCTCCTTCTCGCAGACAGTTTACCACATGTATGTCACCATTGGGATCGTCTCGGGTAAGCCTCCCTTCATGGCCCGCGGAGCTCTAGATGTGCGGCTTGAAAACCAGCAATGGGGAGGGAGGGAGGGAGATAAATCCGAACTGTACTTCTTTTCTCTTTAAAGTGAGTAATGTCTGAGATCAGAGGTCTTGAAGTGGGCAATGTAAAGACCTCGGGGGAGATGGAAATATTCTCAAGTGCCTTGGAGTTTTTGATTTGTTTTTCTTTTGAAGTATTTACCCATAATAATGAAGATAACTTCTCCTTTGCTCTAGTTTGCAGCCCCAAACCCCCCATTTTACCTTGTTTCTCTAGCCAGTGTTTCTCAGCTCCGGCACCCTAAAGGGGGTGCACTGTGCTGGATTTATTCTTGGGAAAACTAAGAAAATATTTTCCCTTTCACTTTTTCCTGTACTGTTGGCTTTTGAACCCAGGGCTTCATGCCCGCTAGGCAAGTGCTCACCATTTTTCCCCTTTAAAAGAGTCTGTACATACTGCACAGCATATATATGTTCATTAAATTTGTATACCGGAGATGGAACCAGGGCCTTGTGCATGCAACGCAAGTGCCCTACCACCAAGCTACATCTCAAGCACTCCTGCCACCTCTTTTTAAAATTTTGAAATAGAGTCTCAGTATGTTGCCCAGATTGCCTTCAAATTTGCAAGTCCTAGTTCAGCCTTCTGAGTAGCTGGATTATGAGTGTGCACCACCACACCTGGTAAAGACATGTGTTACATAAAACTACACTCAGAGCCAGGCATGGTGGTGCATGCCTGTAACCCCATCATTCTGGAGGCTGAGGCAGGAGGATCCCTGTGAGTTTGAGGCTAGCCTGGACTACACAGTGAGTTCAAGTCCAGCCTGAACTACATAGCAAGCGCTTGTCTCAAAAAACAAAACAACTATATTCAGTAATAGATTTGTTCATTGTGAATTCTATGAACTTGAAAAACCACAGAGATTTGAAAAAAAAACAGTTTTTATGCTCCCAGTGTCTAAAACAGCTGTCGCATCTTATGTAGACTTTTGACAAAGCCTATTTTTCTTTGCCACATTACCTTTTCCATGGTGAGTCACCTGATTCCTAAAAACAAAACCTTCCATCTCGGAATACACCCTTCCTGTATCCCTCAGTGTGTGGTCTAAGTCCTCTCTTTGACTTCTGCCCACAGGCTTGGGATACTGCTTTAGTTTTCTCCCCACTGTCACCATCCTGTCACAGTACTTTGACAAAAGACGCTCAGTGATCACCGCGGTCGCTTCCACGGGAGAGTGTTTTGCCGTGTTTGCCTTTGCACCAGGTAGGTGGACAGCAGGAGCCTAAAGATCAGTGTGGAAGCGGGCAAGCCACTCTGGCCACGCATTTTTCAACAGTGCGGATGCCGTCCACTGTGTGCATAATGAAGGGTTATTTGCCCTCCCTTCTCCAGCACATTTTCAGGATATAACTTTCCTACCCTATTTTAGGAATTCAAACCATTTCAGTCTAGTCCAAATTTACATGCACAGGAAGATACACTCCAACGTAAGGCTGCCTTGCACTTAAACAATCATAATAAAGGCAGTTTTATTATGTGTGCATGGGTAATCTCACAGCAAAATTATTATCCCTGATTTATTTCCGTAACTAACGTTCATATATGAATGACAAGAAAACTGAAGTAGGATACAGGTAACCTTGGAGACCCATATTCTTTTGTTTTCTGCCATTTCTTGATGAATGTGTCAGTGGACCGCATTTTGTTCTTAGGATAAACAAGGATTTAGCTTGTTTATCCTAAGAACAAACCGTATTTTGTTCTTAGGATAAACAAGGATTTCAGATGGTTCTGAAACTTGAATATGTGCACAGAAACAGAGAAGCAGACAGGTGGAGGCAAGAAATACATTTGTTTTGGCTTTCTGCAGAACTAGGGACCGAAACCTAACCCATTTTATTTTGAGACTGAGTCTCAGTGAGTCACAAAATTGCCTATCCTGGACTCTTAACTTGTGATCCTCCTATCTCAGCCTCACGAAGTGCTGGGAGCATATGGGCCGTCATGACCCAACTTGAGAAGGTTCTGTAGGGCCTGCAGTATTCCATTGTAGTGAGGGAGGTTTATGGTCTCTTTGGCCACATCCTGTGTCCAGTCTGTCCCTCAGCCACCTCTGGTCAGCAGCTTCCACCCCAATATAATAGAAAGAAGAAGGAGATTGTTAAGGCCATCCCCCAGGGAGAAACCGGAGAGAATGTATCATTTAATTCCAGCATACTTATAGAAGCTTTTAGAGTCTCAGTTCATTTTTTATTTAATTCATTATTCCTAAGGACCGAATGAGTGGCTATAGAATGAGCCAGCCCAGAGGTTGACAGATTATTTTTGTAAAAGGCCAGATAGCGAATAATTTAGGCTTTGTAGATTGTACGGTCTCTGTCACAACTACTCAGCTCTGCTATCACAGCCCAAAAAGCACTCATAGACTATGTAAACGAACGCCAGCGGCTGGATTCCTAGTCAGTTCTGTTAACAGAAGCAGGCAGTCATCAGATTTGGCTTGTGAGCCATTGTTCATCAGACCTTGGCATAGATCACAAACTTTGTTTCTTTTGCTTCTGTCTGAAATAAACACACCCTCCAAAGCTCTTCTGGACATGGGACTGCAAAAACTGTCTGCTTCATTATATAATTATTTGTATATATTTTCTCCTTATTAATTTATAAAATGCACCAAAATCTAGACTAAAAAATAGTCTGAAATGACAGCATTTGCAATGTTGAATAATTGTTTACAAAACTTGTTACTAAATGAGCGTGCAGATGTTTTTCTGGATACTGGAGTCTAGAGTGCAAAACTAACCTTGAATTTTCTTGTTTGCTCCCACCTCTTCAAGTTATCACAGCCCTGAAGGAGCAGATCGGCTGGAGATACAGCCTGCTCTTTGTGGGCCTGCTACAGCTAAACATCGTCGTCTGTGGGGCATTGCTAAGGCCAATTATTATCAGAGCACCGGAGTCACCGAAAGCAGTCACCCACGAAAACCGCAAAGAAGTGCAATATATGCTTGAAAATGAGAAAACACGAACCTCACTAGACTCCATTGACTCAGGAGTAGAACTAACTACCTCACCGAAAAATGTGCCTAGTCATGCTAATGCAGAGCTGGAGCCCAGGGCTGACCAGCAGATCCTGGGGAAAACCAGCGCCACGCACAGCGAGAAGAAAGTCCCGTTGTTAGACTTCTCCATTTTGAAAGAGAAGAGTTTTATTTGTTATGCACTATTCGGTCTGTTCGCCACACTGGGATTCTTTGCACCTTCCTTGTACATCATTCCTTTGGGCATTAGTCTGGGCATTGACCCCGATCGCGCTGCTTTTTTATTATCCACAATGGCAATTGCTGAAGTTTTTGGAAGGATCGGAGCTGGTTTCCTCCTCAACCGAGAGCCCATACGGAAGATCTATATCGAGCTCATCTGCGTCGTCTTACTGACCGTGTCTCTGTTTGCCTTTACTTTTGCTACTGAATTCTGGGGTCTCATGTCATGTAGCATATTTTTTGGGGTTATGATTGGAACAATAGGGGGGAGCCACATTCCATTGCTCGCAGAGGATGACGTGGTGGGAATTGAGAAGATGTCCTCGGCTGCCGGTGTCTATGTGTTCATCCAGAGCATAGCAGGGCTGGCAGGACCGCCCCTGGCAGGTAATTGAAATGCACAGCGTTCAGACTGCAGTCCACATCCCTGCTGTCCTGTTCGAGTCTAATTTTAAAACCTACCTCCACTTTCACATTTCCACTGGGGTTTAGGGCTGCTGAGGATTACAGGTCACCTCAGCCAACCCTCTTGATTTAAATATAAGGAAACAGAAGGCCAAAGAATTTAAGCAAACAGCCATACCATAGTGAATGACTAAGCCAGGATCAGAACCTGTATCTCCAGGTTCTGGTTGCCTCTGGCTTTTTTTTCTTCTCTTTTCTTTCCTCTCTCCCCTCTGTCTATGTGTCTGTCTGTCTGTCGTCTGTCTGTCTCTCTCAAACTCTGTCTCACTTTGTAGTTCAGACTGGCCTAGTACTTGCAACTCAAAGTGGTATCTTCCTGCCTTAGGCAGGTGCTGGGATTACAGGTGTGCACCGTCATACCTGGCTCCCAGGCCCTTTGTGTCATCTTCCTAGAGAGGAAACCCATGGATATGTGATCTTTGTAACCCATCTGACTTTGGGGAAAATAGAACTCAGGGACTTCTGTAAGTCATGTTGCTTTCTTAGGGAGAGTGTTTGGGAATTGAGCACATAGCAACATTCTGAAAATACTTACTGGATTAGTACAGAATACTTTGTTAGAGTAGAAATCTTAACCCATTAAAAGATACCTGAAGTTAACATAACCAAAATCATATAGCTTTTTCCACTACTTAGAAATACTACCTTTTAAGTTGGGTGTAGCTGTATTCCCAGCTTCTTGGGAAGCTGAGGCATGAGGATCACAAGTTTGAGGCCAGTCTGGGTAACTCAGTGAGACCCTGTCTCAAAATAAAATTTTAAGAGAAGCTGGAAATATAGCTTAGTAGTCCATGCTTGAGCAGCATGTGGGTTCATTTCCTAATAACTCCCAAAAAAGAATATTATCTTTTCAAAGAAATATGCATCAAACTGTCCCATATTTTAGGTTCTTACTAGAATAGACCATGAAGAACAAGTTAGCAACTTAGTTTTCTCCAGTACCAAGTATGGCATACTGTGTGTTTACTTCTCTCTAGTCTTGCTAAAACCTCAGCTTTTAATGTTGTTTTTTCTTGAGGAAAAATAAAGTAAGAAAGGCGGAGAGACCGAGCAGGTTATCAGTCAGGCAGTAACTCCAGGTGGGAGTCCACATACAGTAACCATGTTGCTAACAGTGCCAACACTCTCTCTCAGGTCTGCTCGTGGACCAAAGCAAGATATACAGCAGAGCCTTCTACTCCTGCGCAACTGGCATGGCTGTGGCCGCTGTGTGCCTCGCCCTGGTGAGACCGTGTAAGCAGGGATTGTACCAGGATCGTCATTCAGGTCAAAAAAAACCAGAGAGCCATCGCGGGAAGGCATTACAGGACATCCCCGAGGACTTTCTGGAGATGGATCTTGGGAAAATTGATCCTAGAGTTCATGTGACAATAGAGCCAGTATGACAGGTTTTCGTGTTGGCTGGAAAAGGGGGACCCTGGGGACACGGGGGGCCCTGGGGACACGGGGGACCCTGGGGACACAGCGGACAGCGGGGCTGAGAAGAGCCAACCACTCAACTCCGCTTTCAAAGCTGCATTTTAAAGGGAATGTACATGTGGACAGCACTACCAACATCTTTTTTTCTTTTTTTTGCTATTGTTTTTTGTTTTGTTTTGTTTTTGAAGCCAAAACAAAAACCACCATATATAAGTCTGGCTCTATTCAATAGCAATACAAAGGTATATAGAAGGATCCTTTGGTTCACATTCCACTATTAAAATAGTGACATGAATTAGCAAAGTTGGGGGGGGTGTTTGTGGGGTTTTTTGTACTGGGAATAGAACTCAGGACCTTACACCTGCCAGGCAGGTGCTGTGCCACTGAGCTGTATCCCCCGGTGAGCAAAGTGGTTTTAAGAGCACACTCACATGTGATAAATTCCTATTTTAGGATTAAAAAAGACATCTAGCCCAGGTCACTGAAATGAAATTGGTCATTACAAAATCAAAATATCTTGAGTCACTGAAAAAACTTTATTTTCAGGAATATGAGTAAAGTTTTTTAAAGAATTTGAAAAACACTGAGTTTCCATTAATGACAGCATCTGAATTATCCAACTGCATGAAAATGAAGTATACCATCGTTTAAGACCAAACATTTGAGTCATAGGCAAAAAACTTAAATATATGTAACTTGAACTTCATAAATGTGAAGATTATCACTTCTTTGTATGGCCAGTCACCACCAGAAGTATTTCAATACAGAAATATACTAAATTACATTTAAAAATGTGATTCCTGTTGTTTTTAGTTATTCAGAAATATGTGATTGTAGTGTCCTTAATTTAAAGCACTATTTATTATTAAGTTATTCTAGGGTAACTGAAATAATCCAAAGAAATGAAACGTAATCTGAGACATAGATGGAATTTTTGCCTCCTCCTTGCAATCCTTTGAATGCCTCAAAGAGTAGTTCTTATAAATGGCCAATTTGTGTTGATTCCTCCGTTTGATTAAAGGCAATGTGTGCTACTTACAGGGTGGAAAAATAATAGATAGCAAATCGCCTTAGCTTTTAAAAAGATAATTTATTAGCAGAGTATATTTGAGGAGCTTATCTGATCAAAATTATATCTGTTGAGCATTTCTGATTTTAAAAACAGTCTTAGCTGTTGAAGTATTTCTGTATTTCACTTTGGGGGCAGCAGAGACATATAACCATCACAGACTACAAGTTACAATTGCAGTTCGCATCTGACAAAGAACCTGACTTGACTGTCGTAGGTTGCCGTAGGTATCCGGTAAACCAGTCATTGTTTTAGAGTTACATTGTGTTTCATATTTCTCATTTCCGCAGTTTTCTGTAAAGACGGTAAGAGGTGAGCTGTTTACTCGCCTGTTTTACTGACTCTCACCTTCGAGGTGATGGTCAATGCTCGCTGCTCCATCTTTACTGTTAATTTATGACAACTCAGGGGGAAAATATAACAAGCCTAGTTTGGTTCCAGGTAAACACAAGCTTGAATATTTCTCTGCACTGAAAGGAGAGTGGCATAGCTCATCACCACCGGCTACATTTTGTATAGCATTTTATCAGCCATAGAAATAGGACAATCCGTAAAACTCCGAGGAAGGTGCAGGAGGAAACAAAGCATCTGTCTAAAACAGATGCGCCTGAAACAAGCAAGGTGGGTGTAGCAGAGCTGTCGCAGCTTGAGGAGAACCCGAGCTGGGGCAGCTCTGCGTATTTACACAACTTCAGCACTTTACAGCATATTTTGTACTATGAATGTTCAATGCAATTTAATATTTATAAACTGATTTCTGAGAGATCTGCTCTATGTCCATTCTGTTAACTGCATGAGAAAAAAAATGTATGCCAATTTCAGTATGTCAATAATCAAGGTTTTAAATGTTTGGAAGAAAACAAAAATAAGACTGCTGATTTGTTCTGTATTAGTGACATTCTGGTACTTCTAGATTTGCAATAAATTTATGGCTTTTTTATATAAAGAGATTATTTTTGTGTGTGGTAAAGTTTTTATTCACTCACAGCATTCATTCTCTGACCCAATTGAAGTTCTAAAAATGCCAGTAAATTCATTGTATATAAATACTTTTTAAATTTTTTCTGCAAAATCTGTTTAGCTCCACTACAGATATACACTTGCTCTAAGAGTTATCTACTGAACTTGTCACTGAAAACAGGACGGCGTCACATTCTGTCCTTCGTTCCTATGTTCTCATTATTTACGTTCACTGAGATAAAACACATTGTACTCACAGCTTACAGGAAGAAAGCTGTATCTTGACTCACAGTTTACAGAGGTTTCAGTTCATGGTTCACTGGCTCCAGGAAGGGTGGCATGGTAGAAGGGTCTGGCAAAGAAACACTTTACCTGGTGGCAGCCAGGAAGCAAAAAGCAAATACACAAAACAAACACACAAACTGGAGGAGCCACAGAGGGAAATAAACATCCCAGTGACCCGGACCTCACAGCCAGCCAGCTACACTGCCCTATCAGTCACCTTCAAAAAGCCCCACCCAGGAATGCATGAAGCTCTGAGGGGGCATCAAGACATAAACCATAACACCTTCCTGCAAATTCCTGAAGCCCCTTAGAAAGTAAATAATTTAATCTCCTTAAAGTATTAATAACTTGATAATATCAGGGAAGTATTAAATAATAGATGACAGGAGAATAAAAATGAAACAATAATCAAGTGAAGGAGAACAGTTTCAGCTAAGCACTGAGCTGAGAATAAAAAGGAGTGAATGAAATTATTTCTTAATGAAAAGTAACATGAAGAAGCGATATCCTGGCAGTCACAGTCGATGCCCGTGGAGAGCAGTTAAGAGCAAAGGCTCAAGACTACTGGTAGGGTTCGATCCTAAATGTCCCCAAAGGCCCTAGGTTGAAGTCTAGGCTGTGCCGCATTAGGGGGTGGGGAAACCTTTAACAGGCATGGGGAGAGGGGCTGCCCTTCAAAGGCACACTGGGACCTTCAGCCCCTTTCTCTGTCTGCTTCCTGAATAGCAATTTTGATCCACTGAATGCTCCTGGCCACTGCAATTTGCTTTGCCGCAGACCAACAGCCAGAGGGCCGGGTGATCATGGACTGAAACCAAGAACTAAAATGATCTCTCCACCTTTTAAGCTGCTTATCTCCCGTATTTTGTCACCATGAAGGAAAGTTAACTAACACAACTATCTAAATTCAGTTACTGGGCATCCGCTCAGCCCTCAGGTGCCAAGGGTCAGGCTTGGAGAATGTGGAGAGCTGGCTGCATGTTGGGCTTACACTGTGGACAGTGAATGAGCTCGGGCAACAGGCTGTGACACTACTACCACGAGGTCTCCTGGCCATGAGTCCCGGCTCATAGCAGTCAGCAAAACCAAACCTGCAGAGATGGTGATCGAGGCCTACAGTTATGGCTGGTGCACTTTCAGAGAAAACTCTGTTCAGGAACTCAAATGCTAAAATTCTGTCATCATGCCCTGAGATCAAATGGCACTTCACTGGCCACCTACAGAAACAAAACATCAACACATTGATGGCTGTCCCCAACCTCTTCATGGTGGAACTGGATTCTGTGAAATTGGTAGACAGTCAGCAGTTCCTGGCAGACACAAAAGGTCCTCCTGAAAGGTTAAGGTTATGGTCCAGATCAACACCAGACAGGAGAATGATAGCCCTGGGGCAGCACCTGAATGCTAAGTACCCCAGCGTGGAGTTTGTGGGGCTGGCGACCACTGAGGAGCTCCAGATGTGATGTTAGTCAAGAACCAAATCCAGACTTCCAGAAGCTACAGTCCCCTCGAGGAGAGCCGTGTGCACAGCTGCGCATCCCTGCCGAGCAGGTGGTGCCGAGCATGGGCATGTGCAGGGCCTTCCAGTACACTACTGAAGTTGGATCGACAAATGTCCAAGTAGGGATCACCACTTCTGGAGAGTGGGACTACTCCAAGAAACCTGTCCAGCACAACAGAACTGAAGGTCCCAATGGAGGCGACTCAGGTGCACTGAGCCAAGGACAGCCAAGGCCACTAGCTATGCACGAAGTGTTCATTGTGATGGTCCCTACTTTGCTGCCCAACTGTGCTCTCCTGGGACCTGGACAGCTGAGGATGGTCACAGGTGTCCGATGAAGCCACCTGTGCCTGGTCTCTGACATAGGAAGACGGTGGCTTTGGATCCAGTTTGAGAATCCAGACTCTTCTGAAGAAACAGATGCCAAATTAGTAGCTAAGAACTGAGTCCCATATTGAATTCTGCCCACAAGGACTAACCAATTCATGAAAGCCTTTCCAGGTTGGAGTATGGATAGCCTGTGCCTACCTTTCCCATGGGTCATCCCACTCTGGTAGGAAATGCCCCCACGACGACGGCCACCTTTGCTGCTCTGGAGCAAGGTGATTTCCGTCCCTCCCATACACAGGGAAAGCATTCCCTGCTGTGGAGTGACAGTCGGTGGGTAACTTCCATCCATGATTCAAGTGACAGCTCCACACACCAAGTGCCGCTAGTGACAGTCTGTGTCCCTGATCACTGTGACTCAGAATTCAGAGGTAACTGTTTGTAAATAGGATTTTGACCTTCCTGACACCCTTCTTAAGGAGCTTTTCCGCAGCGAATCTATGTGATGAGAATTTCATGGTGTGATGTCTTGGCTCCAATATTCCCGCTGGTGATTTTTTTAGCAAAGGCCAGTGAAATCTCACCCCTCCTCTGAAACCAGAGCCTTCAGAGCTTACTCAGCAGCATGGCTTCAGTCAGGCCTCGCAGTGCCAGAGCATGTGAGGCACATTCACAGCCTCAGCACTGTCTTCATAAACCACAGTCTCACCGTTCTTCTCTACTGTTCATCAATAAAGTGGCAAGATCCTCAAAAATTAGAAAGCACAGCTCTCCAAGTCAGGACAGTTTCAGGGTAAGTTGTTGTTTCCTTCATAATTTTTCCTCCTATTCGAGCCCCAGTTTTTAATTTTATAAAATAACTTGGAGAACATGATCCTGCTACTGATTTACAAAATTACATTCATTGTGATGAATCATACATACATACATCTTTATGATTCCTGTTTCAGAGCTATAGCGTGGCATTTCAAAGTCTATTAAATAAAATGTGAGTTTGAATTATACCATTGGTGCCCATTACAAAGCAATTAAAAGATTTATTTTCTAAAAGTAAATAAATAAATTCAGTTATTGAACAGTCCTCTGAATTTTCCTAACCTCTACGTAAACAGCAGACTCTAGGCCAGGGGTTGACAAGCTTTTTCTATAAAAGTCCAAAGAGTCAGTGTTGATGGTTTTACAGGTCATGAGGTCTCTGTCAAAACTATTCTTCTCTGCCACTACAGGTCAAAAACAGCCATGCATAATATGTAAATGAACAAGCATGCTTACGTTTCAATAAAATGTTATGGATGCTAAAATTTAAATTGTATAGCCAGGCATGATGGTGCACGCCTGTAATCCCAGCACTCATGAGGCTGAGGCAAGAGGATCGCTGTGAGTTCAACTCACTGTGGGCTACACAGTGAGTTCAGGACCAGCCTGAGCTATACATGTAGTGAGACTCTGTATCAAAACAAACAAACAACAAAAAAGTATAAACTATCACATATGAAATATTCTTCTGGTTTTATTTTAATTACATGAAAACATTAATGCCATTGTTAGCTAGAATGCAATTTTAAAAATGGGTGGTAGACTAGTGTTGGCCTATGGACCACAGCTTCTGGCCTCTGCTCTATCTATCTGTAACACTGGAAAGGGTTGATACCACAACTCTGGAAACTAACAGTCCAGACTGATGTGAAAGTCTAGTTATGGTCAAAGTCATTCTTGCATCAGAGCTGCTAAAGACAAGAACAATCAGACAGCAGAGAGCCCATGTACTTATTTTATTTTTATTTCAGTGGTTAGTTATTGCAGTACTGGAGACTGAACCCAGGGCCTTCACACTCAGCTACACGCCCAGCCCTTTGTTTTCACTGACTTTTTTCTTTCTTTTTTTGTTGTTTTTTTTTTTGTGTGTGTGACAAAGTATCACTAAATTGCCCAGGCTGGGCTCAAATTGTGAGTCTCCTGCCCAGCCTCCCAGAGTGCTGGAATTACAGGCATATACTCTCACACCCAGCTATCTGTCAATGAATTATCAGTTTTTACTTTCTGTGATGAAAGAAATTCCACTTTAGCTGGATGTGGTGATGTGTGCTTATAATTCCAGCACTCAGGAAGCTGAGGCAGGAGGATCACTGCAAGTTCGAGGTCAGCATGAACTGCATAGTGAAACTCTGTCTCAAAAGGACAAAATAACAATAATAATAATGTTTTGTTTTGGTATAAATGCAGATTACTTCCTCCCCCAAAGTACAATTATTCTAGTTTTTAAAATGAATTAAAGCCTGGGGATGGTGGTGTGCACCTATAATTCCAGCACTCAATAGGTAAGGCAGGAAGTTGGCTGTGAGTTCAAGGCCAGCCGACATCAGCATAGTAAATTCAGGGCCAGCCCAGAATACTCAGTAAGACCCTTTGTCAAAAAGCAAACACACAAAAATGTAATGTGGTTTTTGCTCATTTATTTGCCTTTTTTGAGCTTAACACCTATGATAAAAACAAAAATGCATTGTCTTTCTTTTTTTCTTTCTTTCACTTTTGTGGTACTGGGGATCAGCCCTCCCATTGAACTACAACCTCAGCATCTTTTCTGACACAAGAAAGTCGCTAGATTGCTCCGGCTGGACTCAAACTTTCAATCCTCCTGCCTCAGCCTCCCAGAGTGCTGGGATTTACAGGCACGTATCACTATATTCTGCGGGTCAATACATTCTAAATCCAGGTTTCAGTGATCCAGATTCAAGTCCCCTAGCAGTATTTATTACATTTAGATTTCCATTATCCAAATATTCTGAGTCAAAATTATCATGATGCTTATATTGCCCGTATCCAAACATGGAGTTCAATCATAAGGATTAGTGTTTAGAAGTCATTGCATTTAAAACTTACAGTTGATTATGAACATTACTGAAAACAGCCAATGTGAAGACGATTTAGATGTGGTATATTCTGCACAACCACTCTTGAAGCATACTTGGCACTGAGAAAAGAGAAGCGCTCCTTATCTTCAGATGTACCCTTAATACAAATGAGTGTCCTAAAATTGGACAATCGCATCCCATAGGAGGGCCACGCACAGAGGCATAAGAAAGGAAACGAGGGCCCCCTGGCGTTCAGTTTTGGTACTCACTCTACAGGCACCGGACAAGGAAAAGCGCCAAGAGAACTCACACTTTTGCTTTTCACACAAACCCTCTCAGACCCAAATCTAAATGACCTCGGCCTTATCAATCCCGGAGGAGAAACCGGACAGGAAGCCGGAAGCTCCAAAACACTGATGACTGGGAGAAAAATACACATTGTGTTTATGTGTTTAGATCATTTATGTCTTTCCAATAGCTCAAGAAATCCACTATGTGGACTACACTAGCAGCTTTCTCCCCTAGAATTCAACAAGAACTTTTAAGAAACTCCTCTGAGGCCAATGTGGTGGCACACAACTGTTATCCCAGCAGTCTGAGAGGCCGAAGCAGGAGGATCTCCAATTCAAACCCAGCCTGGGCAACGTAACAACTTGGCAAGATCCTGTCTCTAGATTAAAGAAGGAAACCATTTAAGGGATGGAAATAGTTCAGCATGAAAGTCTTGGGTTCAGTCTCCAATACAGTGAAACACCTCCTCTACACCAATGCCCATTCATTCTCAGTCCCAATTCTGCCCCCAACCTCCAGCCTTGAACATGCCCATGTACAGCAGACAGAGGTCAACCAGGCGTCTCCAACATAAATTGTCCTCAGAGGAACCCTGGCTCCTGCTCCTCCAATCTACAAATCCCGCCCTCTCTACTTTCTAATTATATCCGGAACCTAAGAGCTTTGGCCAACTCCACCTTACCCTGATCCAAGTGTATATCACCTTCACCAGATTACTGCAATAATCCTCCAGCGTGCTTCCCCTCCTACTACAAGCCACCCCCACCTTCATTCCCCTCACAGCACCCCAGATCCTTTTAAGGCACAAAACACACAAATTCTTACCGATGGACCTGAGTGAACTGCCGGACGCTGTTCCCTAACTTAACTTGTGTTTACTGTCTACGGCTTGGGCCTCGGTCCCTGAAGCTCTCTTTGCCTGGCACCTCCTTCCCCTACATGTGGATACCATGTGACCTTTTAATTGAGTCACTTCCAAATGTCACCCACCTACAGAAGAGAAGAGAGACTATCCTATTCAAGGTAGTCAAGTTAGTGGAGGGCACCGAGGGTCAAACCCGAGCCCAATCTACCACTGAGCTACAGCCCCACCCTTTGTTTATATTTTGTTTTGAGGCTGGTTCTTGCTAAACTGCTTTAAAGGAACTTTCCATTCTGCCTCAGTCTCCCTCAGTGCTGGAATAATAAGTGTGCACCACGACGCCTAGTTCCGAATTCTTCACTCCAACATTATGTTATAAAAGCATTTGTTTGCACCTTGATAATCTGCCTCTTCTACTAGTATAGTCACATGGTGAAGTTTTGTTCACTCCTATTGTAACCTCAAGGTGATGGGCAGGGCCTAGTACTAACAAGTGGTACTGTATACTTAGCGAATATGCAAATGAATGAATGAATGAATCAGTTCTTTATTTCTCCCCACCACTCTCCTTACCTAAGAGGGAAAAAAAAGGTATCTATTCACAAATAGGGTTGAAAAGACTGGGGCGACTGTAAAGCAGCTTGAGGGCACTAGTGAGTCAGAGCCTGTGCTCAGGACCTATTAGCTCTGCACCTAAGCCCAGGCTCAGGAAGCCCTGCCGGAGTACCCACTACAGGTGTGTCAGCTCTCAGGATGAAAAACTAATTGCAAACAGGGACTTAACAAGACAGAGGGAAGTTAACACAGGGCTAAGCAAGCAAATGCAGGGCTGTGCGTTTCAACGTACTGCCCATGCAGATTTTGTTTTAACTTAACCTTTTTCCAGTAGCTCTTTCAAAAATATTTTTTTAGTTTTGACACACAGTAATTGTACATATTTATGGGATACAGTCTATTACCCCAGTCATTTATCATTTCTTTTTGTTGGGAACATTCAAAATCCTGCTGCTAGCTATTCTGAAATATATGATTGACTTTTTTTGTTTTTGTTTTGCAGTGCTAGAAATCAAACCCAAGCCTCATGCACCAAGGTCAAGTACTCTAATACAGACCACATTTCTAACCCAGGAATGCTGTTTCTGCTATGGTGCATTTTTAAACTCCTCAACTAAAGACAAGTACTTTTCTGAATATTATACCACTTTTTTTCTGTTTTTTTATTTTTCCCCTCCCCCCACTGTACCTCTGTACCTCTCTTTTCTTTTTTATTTTTTGGTCCTAAGGTAAAAGCACACAGACAAATTTCTCTTACTTTGAGCAACCTCAGATGGACCCACTTGAAAAGAAAAGAAATTGAAAGTTTAATCTTATAATCCCCTTTATAAATAATAGGGAAAAAGTGGTTTGGTTTCCAGCTGCTGTAATTCCATGAGGTCATATAACATAGTAAAAACAACACAGAACTCAATATTAGGAAAACTGGGTTTTGATCTCAAATTCGCCAACACACACGCTTAGTTGAAAAGCAGTTGCTTCTGCATCTGCAACATGAACGCAATTATTTCCATGTATTTCCACCTTATGACTGCGCTTTCCACACATGAAAATGCATCTAAATAGCTGGCAATGACGGGGAAGGTAAAAAACAATCTTTACCAGGGAAGGAGAGTAGGATGGAAAACCCAATCAACATTAATTCCAAAGGCCCTCATGGTGCGCTGCCTAAGGGCATGCATGGCCCCTTTCTACAACAAGCCTCTGGCTCCTACTGGCTCAGTTTCACTGACACACCTTCCCAGATAGACCAGAGACTGGCAGTGATCTAGAGCTGCAGTTTCCAATACAAGTCACAAGCCACCCAACGGCTGAGCACCTGAAATATCATCAGTCCAAAGACAGATGTGCCATGTGAACTGTACACCAGACTGCACAGAATTGTACAAAAAATTAATAACAAGTATTTCAATATTTATATTGACTCTCTGTTGAAATATTTTTTGTTGAGTTGTTTTGTTTGTTTGAAACAAGGTCTCACTATGCAGTTCAAGCTGGCCTTAGACTATGTAGCCCAGGCTGGCCTCGAACTTGCAGCAATCCTGCTGCCTCGGTCTCCTAAGTGCTGGGATTACAAGCGTGTTCCATCACACCCAGTTTGAAATATTTTGGGTGCATTCTGTTAAATAAAATATGTAACTGAAATTAATCCCACCTCTTTTTCCATTTGCTAATGCGGCTACTGCAAAAGTTAAAACTTCCATATGAGGCTTGCATTACACTCCTATTGGACAGCGTTGCGCTAGACACTTGATATCAGAAATCTAGAAAGTAACCAGGATTCAAACTTTCCAATGAAGCGCTTTGTAAATGCTGTACCCAGAACTGTTTGCACTCACACTGCTCGGCGGCCATCGCCGTCCTGATTTGCAGGGCCGTGCCAGAGCGCGCGCGCAAGGCTGTCACCCACGCCTCCCCAGGCTGGCAGGCTGCGGGGTGGGAGGCTGCGCTCCGTCGTTGGGGCCCAGCCGGGCCGGGCCACGATGCGGACTGCACACTTCGAGCCGCTGGGGGAAGTCCCGGAGCGGAAACAGGTGGCGCGCCGCCGGCTGCAAGCAGCTGCAGGTCCCCAGGCCCGCACCCGGGCAGCGACGCGCTTCCTGGTCAGGAAAGGCCCGAGCCCGAGCACAGGGCAGGGCCGGCTATAGCAGTCCCGCAGCTGCCTGCTTGGATTTTTAGCATTTTAGCTCTCGCGGAGCAAACCACCTGGCCGACTGTTCCCTACAGGGGTTGCAATGGACAAGCACTCCTGCGGGAGGATTTATGCTTCAGAAAGCAAGCTGCACGTGCAGACAGACAACCCTTGTCCAACCCTATTTAACCCTCTCCATTATGTTTTTGTGGACTGAAATGTCAAACTTCAGCTTTGTCTTGACTACAGAGATACTGCAAATTTGGTGGCAGCTGAGGAATGGGACCATGACATACATGTGCTGTGTTTTCAAGTCACATATTTTTAAGAGGACATTGAGGTCCTGAACAGCTATTCGCTTTACCAGTTCACTGTTTTATTATTCAGGATTTGCTTGGACAATCTGCATGGATTTCTGCTTAGTGAAAATCATTTTTAAAAACTTAAAGATTTCACTACAGTACACAAAGTTTAGTTGTAATTGACAAATTATATTTTTAATTTAACCCAAAGAAATTGTTCAAAAGTGTATAGAGGATGACTGCTTAAAATTGCAAAGTAATTGGTTATTATGTATAGTTTAGAACACAAAAGTTTAGTCCAATTTTTAGGAAGAGGGATTTGCTTCATTAACTCTAGTTCCTGGGCTCAGTACCGAGCACACAGATGAACGCTGTTATCTTTCCAATTACTGTAACTGAGTTACTGACTTAGGCATAGCTGAGTGCTCCTAGGTTTGACTAATGCTTATTACACAACTAAAACTTTGTTACATAAGAAAATGTAGAAGAGTGGGCTATCTTAAAACGCAGTATTCAGAGAAAATAAGTCACAAACATCGTAATATTCCATGCTGTTTCTTTTCAGTATTAAATGATCAAGGATTCTAATTAATTTTAATAGCAAACCATTATCTCCTCAAGTGACTTAAAGGAATTTAAAAAGAAAATAAATCTAAAAGAAACCATTGATTTAATTGTGAAATGTGCCTTAAATCATACTACATAAAGTACAGCCAAAGAATTTAGGTTTCGGGGCTGGGGATTTAGTTCAGCGGCATAAGTGCCTGCCTTGCAAGCAGGCAGTCGTGAGTTCGATCCCCGGTACCAATAAAAAGGAAAAAGACCAAAAAAAAAAAAAGAAGTTAGGTTTCAAAAACAAAAAACAAATCACCTTAGCATGAAAGAAAAAGTGGGATGCTGTCACTCAGTGGGACCACTAAAATGACACACTGTGGTTTCCAAATTCCTGATATATATTGTTCTAGCAGAGATGTTTTGTCAAACTGAGGTTGTCTACCTGTCCACTACCAATGCAATAGTGATGTCACAGCCTTGCAGGCTGTCATGGGCATTCTTGGCATCCTGACAGATACACCCATGGCACTCTTTCCTCTCACATCACAATGCAAAAAATTGAAAAAACATTATAGAAAAAACTGTGAAACCTGCTCTCAGCCTACAGAACATGTGCAACTTTCACAAATATAAATGCCGTTGCAAATTATTTGTAAGACTTACCATAAACAACTCATCAGTTGTGGGTGAGAACTGCAATGTAACACCCACTACCAAAGGCTGCTGTAAGCACCAGTTATTTTCACTTGTAAATATCCTTGAGATTACTATTTTAAGCTGCTAAATGTTGATACAGGTTGTCTCACTGAGGCTTAAGATGATAAACAGCAAGAAAAATTAATTTGCAATGACCCAAGGCGTGGGAAAAGCACACGGAAGAGAGGGATGCAGATGGGAAAGACATGAGCCCAGGAGGGCTCGCAGCGGAGACCTGCTTGAGCCTCTGGAAGGACAGCGTCTCTTCTAAAAACAAAAGCATCCCTGGAAAACTGTGTTGGCAGGCAGAGCTGTGGTGGGGGAAGCTGGCTCATTCCTTGGGACACACAGAGCCATTTGTATTTCTGTACTTGGTAGTTACTGCTAATCCTAGCTCTCTTGTGAGGCAAGCATATCTGAGACTAGAAATGAGGTACTTACCACTGACACTGACCAAGGTGGGTAAGACAGAAGGGTTCTGGAGTAATTACTCAAAATTAACTTCCTTTCAGGTTAGGTGCTTTAAAGATTCTGTTCTCTACTTTGACACGGTACAGAAGCAGTAAGATATTTATTCCATTAAAGTACTTCACCCTGGGCTGGGGATTTAGCTCAGTGGTATAATCACCTGCCTGGCAAGCGTGAGGTCATGAATTCGATCCCTAGTACAAAAAAATAAAGTACTTCACACAATGAGGGTTGTGGTGCAAGTATTTATTTTATTACTTCTATCTGAAGGTTCTTATTTTTGGAGAACAGCAAGGCATTTTATTATCCACTCTTTCCATTCCTTAAAGGCTTCCACGGGTTTTGGCAAATTCACATTATCTTCACGACTATGTTTTGGAGTTGCTCTTGGTGTATCAGAAGATTCATCATCAATCCACCTCACCAGTGCCTTGAAAACAGAATAGATACAGTTTTTAAAATTTGTTGACACTGGGCATAGTGATACATGACTGTCATCCCAGCACTTGGAAGGCTGAAGCAGGAGGATTGCTCCAAGTTCAAGACCAGCCTGGGCTACAAACTGAGTTCAAGGTCAGCCTGAACTGCACAGTGAGACCCTGTCTCAAAAAAAAAATTTTTTTTAAATAAATATTTTAGCTAGGCATGGTGGCACATCCCTATAATCCCAGAACTCAGGAGGCTGAGGAAAGAGGATCACTGCAAATGTGAGGACAGCTTGGTCTACAGAGTGAGTTCAAGGCCAGACTGAGCTCCGTAGCAAGATCATCTCCTAAATAATTAAGGGCCGAGGGCTTAGCTTAGCAGCACAAGCACCTGCTTGGCAAGCACGAGGTCATGAGTTTGATCTTTGGTACACACCAAAAAAAGCACTTTAATAAATAAATAAAAAGGCAAGCATATTTTAGCAAATCACAGCGTAAGAGTTATAAACAAGAGAACAGTGGTGTATAGATCAAATTATCTAAGTCTATGATTTGTATTACTCCCTGTCGATGTTGCATTTGGTAACAGTGGCTACAAAGACAAAACATACTTATGATATAGACAGTAAAATAGCATATACCAAAAATACACAAAATTGTGAAAAGTATGCATAAGAAAAAAAAAAGAAGTACACTATTCCCCACACTGCTTATTTTAACGTGGCAGGAGAACAGTTATTTTATTTTCTGCAACGTAAGTATTTCAGCTGTGCTTTTAACTCACTGTGCACGTGTGTGCACATATATAGAGGCGTGGGCAGACCTAAGTATGTGACGACCTGGATGCAGACACTGAAGTGTAGGCTCGTGGCTGTATGGTCCTATCCATAAGTGATCACAGAAATGTTCACGATTCATGTGGGGATCTGCGCGGGCGTATATGCACATACACACTCATACACCTGAGATCAGGTACTTCCCCCACCTCCTTAAAGAAAAACATCCTTCCCTCCTAATGGACTTCATACCTCCCTGGACTTCATACTTTATCTAGGAAGATAAGCAACATCTACACATTTCTATGGCTTTAAAACATGAACTCTGCCACAAAGACCACTATGTATTTTGGCCTGTGAAGTCAAGCTCTCTAAATGGATATGAATAAAAGAAACTCCGTTTCTCATTGAACCCTAAGATGGTCACCAGCATGTGATGTTTTTAAGGTTGTTTCTTGGTATGTTGTTTTTCTAACCACAACTTCCTGCTTTATCTTTACACTAATTTCCTCTGATAAATTATAGCTGCAGAGGAGCTAGCAGAAAATGTCAGTTTGCTACTTAAGACAACCACTTCCCTCCTCTTTGCCCCGCCCCAACACTTACCTTGTATCTTTCTACAATACTGAAGCCAATAGCACACTGCAATTTGCGTAAACAGATAGGACAAAGGTTTAGAGGGCGCCGGTCAGCTTCTTCCAGGTGATTGGAGCCTTGCATTAGGCATGTAAGCCATTGGCAGTGTCGCAGTCCAAATATGTGCCCAATCTCATGGGTTAAAGTCTGTAAGACATTCACATTGCAGCCCTATGGCACCATCAGCGAGTTACACATCACTTCTTATTTTTCCAAGAAAGAGTTAAAAGGAGTCAACTCCCTAACCATCATCTTCCAAACTTCACTCTGCCTGGATCTTCAGAGATGTAGTAATCCCTCATTTCTCCAAATGCCCCCATACTTTCCTTACTATCTTTAATTACTTCCCCTGGTCCACAGTTTCTCATCCTCAACACAACTACCATGATGCATGGTTACTTCTATACTGCAGGGATTTGTCCTGGACATTGTAGGATGCTCTGTAGCATCCTTGGCCTCTATCCACTAAACAACGGTACAGCCCCTCTTCAACTGTGACCATTAGGGGCTGGGGATAGTTCAGCAGCACAAGTGACTGGCAAGCAAGGCTGTGAGTGAGATCCCCGTTACCAAAATATCGTGACCATTAAAAAAAGTGTGTCCAGACACTGCACAGGTATCCTGGTAGCAAAATCCCCAACTCTGGTTGAAAACCCCGCTAGCCCAGGAGGGTAGTTGTTACAGTTCAGATTCCGGGGCTCTTTCCCCAGTGATGTAGATTCTGTAGGACAGGGAGGCGGCGGCTTGATCTGCATGCTGGTGAGCACAGCGGATGATGCTGAGACAGGGTATCCACACTCTGAAAGCATGGTTCTGAGAGATTTACTCCTCAAACACCTAGGAATAGTCCTGAGGAATGCAGACCTTCTCTGGTCAAAACAAAACTCTGCTTCTGGCTAAGAAGCAAGGCGAAAATGGGGAGATGGGCTGTCCAGAGAGCAGGGGTGGGGATATATGTCAGGAACTGTCATAGAATTATTACAGCTCAGAACATCAGGAGTCCAAAGGAAAAAGCCCTTCATCACTGAGACACTGGAAAGCAGAGGCCCCGCCAAAATCTCCAGGAAGGCAGCTGTACCTATGGTCATGGCAGCCTGACTGAAGACATTACCATCATATAGCAGAACTCAGGAATTCAACTAATAGTGAAGGCAAAGGTACATAAGACAAAAGACTTGCCTACTAGCAAGACTAAAGACTCACAGCAGAAATATGAATTTCAGTACAAGACATCCAATTACATTGTTCACTGATTATCTCTCTCAAGCCATCAAAAATATACAAATGATATAAATTCCTTTATAATATTACCTTAATTAAGATCTCTTTTAAAAAATACTCCTACAGGATTTTTTACCCACCTTACAGGACCGCAGCAGTAAAACACTAGTGACTTCAGGAACGCAATAGTTATCGAAAATGGAGTAGTCATTGGAAGATTTTTTCTGGAGTTTCTTCACTTTGCCTTCATAGTGCGAGGTATAGAAATCCCTGCCATACCTGGCAAAGCTGAATATCCCCACACCTACAAAAAGAGAACCCACAAACACAGAGTGAGGGTGACATGCCTCAAGGAAAGACCAAAAGAGAGCCTACTAGACCATGTGGTCAGCGACTGCACGCCTGTATTCCTGTGGCCACACAGTCTAACACACTTCAGGTTTGCTAAGATACAAGAAGACTTTTGACCCTGATTTCCCAGTCAGAATCTTCACATGCTATCCAATGTGCCCTGGTCCATAAAATTCAGTTGACTTAAGGTCACATTCTAGAGAAATTGGAATTTCAGAGGATTTCTTCTCTCAAAGAAGTCTTTTTCCCAAAGAATAGTCTAAATCAAGTGTTCCTCAGAGGAACCAGGAACAAACGATCCCATGAACGAGAGGCAGCCATGATTTTATTCTTTTCAGACACAACAGATCCATGTCGCTAAGGGTTGCTGGTTTCTCTGTGACCTTTCCCACTCAGACATCTGAGAACCCTAGTTCGGACAATGACTTCAGACAAAATAACCCCCTCTTCTTCTCCCCAACCCTACCCGGCTCACTTTTTAAAGCACAGTGTAACTCTATTACGGGCTCAAATGACCAGAATAATCAGCCTTGTAACTGACTTCCTGTACTATGTTTAGAGTTGTTATCTGCAGTCTTGACATGCAAAGAGAGTTGGATACATAACTCATTCTATAGGGCACTCAATACTTTATAACTCAGCTCATTTACACTGTCACTTGTATTTATGCTTTTCTCTCTGTCATTAATATAACAATGATTTTTTTTCCCAGGACTGGGGCTCTAGCCTAGGGCCTCACACATGCTACGCAAGTGCTCTACAACTGAACTATACTCCAACCCTGAAATACTTTTTGGTAAGAAAATAAATTCATAGTAAGTTTGTCCACATCAACTCTATTAAAAAAAGGAAGTTCCTCGCTTCATAGTCAGAAAGTATACACGATATTTGAAATGTAGGGAAAGATGGCATTGTGAAAGTTAAGAAGAAAAAAAGATTCTAATCATGTATCTCAAGTGACCACTGGTCAAGCAAGTATAAGCCTACTCTGTATTATAATACTTTTAGCAAGAATATTTCTATTTCCTACAAAAAAAATGTTCCTTAATTTGAAAACACCCATCTTTAAACTTGAGAAAACAAGGTCACCTCTAGGATGATATTGACAGTACAGCAGATCAACTCTGCCACCTTACATTTTGTCATACCACAACGCAATATTTAACTTGCTTGAGCAAAGGGACTAAAACAAAAATGCTGGCAGACTATTTTCTGACCTCCTCAAATGCATAGATAAATTAGCTAGCAAGATGTAGAACAAATTAGTTTTAAGTTCTTTCTAATGTTTCCATCTCTCACGGGTTAACAATAAACAGGGAAACTTCTGATAAAAAGCTAGTTCACCTCTCAAAAATCAGCAAGGCAGTTAGTGACCCAGGTCTCTAAGAAGCCACACTGGCAGGGTCGTGGTTTAGAACCTTGTCAGTATAAAGCATCTTGCATGAATGAACTGGGGATAAAGGAACAGCACCCACCTTCAATAGAAAGAAGTATCTGTCAGAGAGAGGCCTCCACCCCCCACTAACCTGAGCCTAATGCTGCAGGCAGACAGACCATGAACTCTGAGCACCGTCCCTGCCTCTTACTGTCTATCCGTAGACTAATAGCCACTGCCTTAGTTCCCTGGGCTCCTCCCTTTCAGCCTGTCTTAGATCCTGGAGGAGTGTGTGAAAGACAGAAGAGCAAAAAGGAACAGTCCCCAAGGAGCTGAAGTTTATTGTATCTCAAAAGTTGAACTTGTTTTTTAACAGAACAATTTTTTTTGTCTTTTTCATTTTTATCGGTACCGGGGATCGAACTCACGACCGCCTGCTTGCAAGGCAGGCGCTTATGCCGCTGAGCTAAATCCCCAGTCCCAAACTTGATTTTTTTAGGGGGAAAAAATTTCCATAATAGAGGATGACAAAAAAAGCATAGTTATTTACTAGTCTATGCCATTCCATCTATGCAAAATGACTTTGAAAAGTCAAGAGATGAGGAATAATTGGGAAGATTTCACATGTTAATGGTAATACTGAGCTTCAAATATTGGGGTTTTTTTTTTTGTCTTTTTGAGACAGGGTCTCACTATGCAGTTCAGGCTGGCCTCGAGCTCACTTTGTATCCCAGGCTGGTCTCGAACCCTCAACGATCCTCATCCTCCCGTCTCAGTCTCCCGAGTGCTGGGATTACAGGCGTGAGCCACCATGCTTGGCCAAATATTAATTTGCTTTGCTCCTGAATTATACTTACCAGCTATCATGCTGAATGCCTATGATGTGCCGGGTATTTTATGTACTGTTCTAGGCACTTTATATAAATTATCTCCAAAGGACTCTGTGAAACAGGTATTCTTATTACCTCAAGATCGCCTAGGTAGTAAGGAACTCGGACCATCAACAGTCTATCAGCAAACATTTCCCAACTGCATGAATGACATCGCAGTGAACATACTATTCACTTTTAAATATCAAAACCCTCCGTGGTTAAAATTCTTTTTAACCCAACATCTCCTAATATTAACTTGAGGAAGTTTTCACCAACAATGTCAAGAAGAAATACCATCTGTCAGAGAGGCTTGCCCAAAGACGAAATTCCATGAGTCTCTTGGGTAAAGATCAATCATAGTTATTCCCACAACACAGAAGGCATCGTTAGGCTTCTTCTTTTTCAAGAAATTCAAGATCTGCCCTATTTAAGAAGAAAAACATGTATGTATATACACAGAATATATATTTCCTTTCATTAATTCATATTATAAAGTTGCTTAATTCACCTGCATGAATTTGTAGATTGTGCGTATGATCATTGACTCTAAAGGAACACCTAGTTGCAGAAACAGAAACTGGTTCCAGGAGTTTCACTTTCAGGCCATAGAAAAATGCTTCACAGTAGCCCTTGAGCCATTTAATATATTCTTCACTGATAACTCTAGTGTTTCCTAGAGCTCCTAGAACAGAGAAGCAAATTAAAGACAAACTTTAAGACGATTAAAGCATTCAGACCTAGACCGGCATGATGGTGCAAACCTGTAATCCCAGTGCTAAGGAGGCTGAATCAGGAGGATATGGAGTTCCAAGACTGCCCAGTCAGTTCAAGGCCTAGAATACATAATGAATTCAAGGCAGCTCTGGACTACATGGTGGCCCCATCTCAAACACAATCAAAAAAATCGTCTTCACCTCAGCCCATACACTAGAAATTTGGATTTAGAATAAAACCAATTCTAAATTTTCAGTACACCAATATATCATAATCAATGCTAGCAATGTGAATTAAAAAGAAATAAAACCTTTACTTTCAAGTCAGTTTGACTGCAAAACTTCTACCACTACAATGAAAGTTAAAAGAAAAATCATAAATGGTAGCCCACCTGCCTGGCAAACACAAGGCCCTACATTTAATCCCCAGCAAAAAAAAAAAAAATCAGAAAAACTGCCCACCTGAAGCAGGTAACAGCTCAAACTGTTCCCTAACAGCACCACTGCAAACCAAACCCAAATCATCCTACTATGAATACATACCGATGGACTGTATATAAATACTGTGTTTCTCTGGAGAGGGTGTCTTTCGGTAGGGATTACTGAAAAACGCTTCGAAGTCCTGAGGTGCCTCAGGGTGGGAGGTGATCCAATCTGACTGTGAATGCAAGGTGATAGGTCCAAAGAGCTCACTGGCTGGTTGGAAGGCTTCATTCATTAAACGCTGCTCCCTAGCATCTAACTTCTCATACTGTGATACAAGCTTTGGGTTCTTTGAGATGAGAGCTGTTTTGAGTGTCTGTTGCGAGTGTTGTACTATCTGCATCTACCAAAAAAAAATCCAGAAACAAAATCAAGAGTAGTCAGATATAAAATGCACAGCCACATTTGCAACTTTACCTATCATCCATATACATGCATGTCTAATTTCTCCCTGGATTAGGAATGACTGTCATTAACGCTCACTGACTTCCCCACTTCCAATCAATTTCTTAAGGAAACTGAAAAGAGAATCATTAAATCCACTCTTCTACTGCATATGGAATCTGTTCTCATTATAAAGGCTAGTAGTGGCCCTAAGACTGTAAGCGACCTGATTTCCTATTTCTTCTGTCATTTGGGTAATAATCACGATCTTATGAGATGATTCATTAGGGCCACATGAAAAATGCTCATTCTTTCCACTGTGATTCAAGGATATTCAATGTTTTTGAAAAATGAGAACTAATATAAATGCTTATTTCTGTAACTTAACTGCAGGCCCATAAGCTATATCTCAGCTACTGAGGTTGATCAACTCAGTCATGTCTCCCTGAGGAAGACATCACATGACCAATCATAAGTCAAGACTCACAGTGACAGGTCCCTTCCATTCACAGCATGGTCCTGGGTTGATCTTTCATCCCTCCATTGAATGGGTCAAACCGATGTTCCACCACGAGGCTTTGAGTTAGAAAAGAAAAAAAGCTGAACAACTCCCGTCTGTACCCTATCATATTTTCTATCTAGTTGTTTTTTTTTCAGTTTAATGATAGACTAAAGGGAAAAGTTTTGTTCTCATTAAACCTCTGAATCCTGGGGTTCAATAGGAGACAGAAAATTCCCAAAGGCCTTTAGAACCCAATTCTGTGAGCAGAGGCTCATCATGAGCACCAAACACTTGGGTTGAAGAGTGACTTCTACAGGATAAACCATCAAGAAGACATGCCTTACGGTATTCTACCTACCTTTTAAGGAGGAAGGCGCCCATGGAAGTTTTTACCTTACAAGCACGGCATGTCCAGCAAATTGTGGAGGATTCCTTCATACTAACGCAAAGAAAGGCAGTGTAAACGGTCAGGAGGCCTTCCCCAGCCTGCTAGGTCTGTCCTAAGAGGAGATGCCTAAGAAGGGGGACTGGGGAAGCTGCACAGATAGGACCACAGCAGGGGGCTGAGAGCCAGGAATGCTTGGCTCCTGACAACTTGTAACATTCCGGGTAAATACATCACGGCCAATCACCCGGACACCTGTCCATAGCGACTCGCACTTCAGGGTCAACCTGATGCAGAGGCGACCTGGTCCGCTCTCGGGTGCGGCGTGGGGCCTCCCCGGGGACTCTCGGTTCGCCTTTTCTCCCTCCTCCACACTCCCCGAGGGCGCCTCCAAAGCACCGGCACGGCTCCCCGGAGACACCCGCCCCCGCAGTCCTCGCTGCTTCCGCTGCGGCCGCTCCTCCCACTTCCGCATCCCTCCCCACCGACCGCGACCGTGTCGGACCTCTCTAACCAAGGGCCCCTGCCCAGGCAGCCGCAGCCCGGCGCCCAGAGACCCGCTCCACCCTCACTACAGCGGGCTGCCAAGCCGCCCGCCGGACGCCCTCCGGCTCCCTTGCGCGTGCGCACCGTGCCGCGCCCTGGCCACGCCCAGTGGGCGGGCCCGCGTGCCGGCCCTGCCCAGTTGTCACGTCACGCCCAGGACGCGCGGCGGCGCCCGCAGGCGCAGTACTCCGCGGCTCGCGGCGACCTTGGCTGTGTCCTCCGAGCGCGACGCGACCATGAGCCTCGAAGCGCGGAGCTCGGATCCCACTGCCGCCTTTTCGCGCCTGCCCTCGTGGGGGCGGTGCGGCCCGGCTGTGCGGGCCGGGCCGGGCTGGGTCCTGTTTCCCTTGGGCCCCTCTGGGGTTGCCTGCTGGTGGTTGCTCAGCGGGCCGTGGGTTTGAGAAGCGCCCCAGGCGTGAGTGATTTAACCACACAGTTACAGAGTAAGTCAGCCGCGGCCGCAGGTTGACGCAGAGCCGGGCGCGCTCCGCGGGCCGCCACCCCCTGGGCTTTCCCCCCTCGGTCTGTTTTGGAAACGGCGGCGGCCCCGCGTGCTGCGCGGGCTGGAGTGCGAGGCCGAGGCCGGCTGTGCAGGAGAGCGTGGGCTGAGCTGGCCCTCCCTGCCGTGAGAGATCTCGGAGGGGACAGAGCGCTGACCCCAGGACTCCTGTGCCTTCGTGCACCTGCAGCAGCCCTCAGACATTCGCGTGGGCGCGCCGGATAATGTCGCCCAACGCCAATCGCTTCCAAGTCCGCGTCCTCCCTCTCTTCGCGGCTGGGGATCTCTAGGCGGCCTCCAAACAAGCTGCACCTCCTACACTTCTTCCTGCCTAGCCGCTTCGTTCTTACCCCGAGCATCCCATTGCCACCTCTTTTGTCTTAGCAGCTACTTACAGAGGAACCCTGAGGAAGACCTACCTCCTTACACCTGTTTCCCCCACCTTTTCTCACTGGTTTTCTCCCCAGACTTACTCTCAAGGGACACCCACCTTTCTTCCTTGGACCCCTACTTCCTTCTTAAACTTCCCTCTGACACACTCGCAAGCACTTTTTTAGCTATCTATATAGTTAAAGTCCTGCGGGTTCTGATTTTTAAAAAGGAACTGATATGTTAGTGGGTCAAGGTATCAGTATGAACTCGTATCTTAATTGTACTGTGTGCACTCAGAAATATTTAGGATTAGAGGCGCATCATAAATTACTCTCAGATTGTTCAGAAAAAAATTTGGAGACAAAGCAGATAAGGCAAAATGTTAGTAATTGGGAATCTGAGTTGAGAATATATGAAAGGGTTTTTTAAATAGGATTATATTATTCTTTCCACTTTTCTGAAAGCCTCACATTATTTTAAACCATTTTGTCAACTTGGTAGATAAGGAAAAGTTAATGTATTAGAGAGACCTACCTCTTTTTCTATATGGATGACTCCTTTTGCCAATAATGAGAAACCTGGCTCCTATTATTTACAGTCTCTTCTATCCGAGAATATTAAAAAATAATTTCAAGGGCCAGAATTCAGCTCAGAGACTTAAGCGCCAGTCTGGTGAGCTCAAGGTCATGAATTTAATCCCTGGTACCAATAATAATAATAATAACTTCAGACTTGCTAATCCATGCCACTGCAGACAAACAGTTCTGCCAATTAGCATTTAGTAATTATTTATGGTTCTTTGTAGTCTGAAGATATATATGAAAATACTATTTAAGTTTATTGAGTTCCCCCATCTTTAAGTATAGCATTAATGTGAAATATATTTTTATTCCTTTGGTTTTGTTTAGACTTCTTTCTTATGGGTTTTCCTCCAACCTTGTTTGTCTTTTTTGATTGTACGGTACATGAACATGGCAATTAAAAAAAGTTAAATTTGATGATAATTTCCAATGATGGTAAACAGCCCTAGTAGAAGTATATGTAAACTGAGAACCTTCCAGGTGAAGAGCTTTGGCATTTAGTATGTTTATACTGGTTGACATACTAAGTCTGACAGATTTCTGGTCAGGGAAAATCACCAAAATATTATTTAAAGTTCAGTTTTTGGAGACTGGAGAAAGTGTACATCATAAACCATAAATTACACATACTCATATATTGGAATACAAAGTAGCCATTTCAAGTCATTTTCCAAACTGGGTGTGGTGGTGCATGCCTGTAATCCCAGCACTTGGGAGGCTGAGGCAGCAGGATCATTGTGAGTTCGAGACCAACCAGAGCTACAAAGTGAGGTCAAGGCCAGCCTGAACTGCACAGAGAGACCCTGTCTCAAGAAAAACAAACACAACAGAGAGGAAAGAAAGTGATCTAAAGGATATAACTGCAAGTATATTTAAGCGTGTAGGATAGAAAACCATATTACTGAGTTTTTGTTGGATCATTGAACAGAACTGTCTGCAATCTCACTGTATTAATGTCCACTTTGTATGCTTTAATTTTGTAATCTGGACAACTATTTCTGAGATGACAATATGTAATCTATTAACTAGTGAATTCTTACTGTATATTTTTTCTCTTGAAAATCTGTATTACTTGTAGCTTTTTACTGTTTTGTTTTGTTTTTCTCTTTAAAAAAAAAGAAAAACACAAACAACGAAAATCAGATTTTCCAGTCCTGACTGGGAAAAAAAAAAACTGTAAGGGGAAATAAAATGAAACCCAGAGATATTTATACAGTGAGATCTTACTTGGTTTTAAAAAGATGTGCCAATAAATAATAATAGTCATTTTCTCTGGGTGATAAGATTTGAGGTAGCTTTGATATTTCTCTCCTAATTTGTGTATTTGCATTTTCCAAATAGCCTAAAATAAATACGTGTTACCATACTTGTAGATTTAAAAGCAGATTGTCCGAAAAGTAATATATTTAGATATTCCAAAATATGCAGACAAGTCCTAGGTGTAGCAGCTTCTCCATGCTTCGAGGCAATTCTCTGCTTCCCTCTGTCCCTCCCTTCAATGGTTTCCCAGCCTTTTTCCCTACAGTCTCTGGATTTTACTCACTCTTAATGTTCCACTGATCTTTCATTCAAATAGAGGAGCAACCAAGATATCACCATTCTTCCTAGTGCGTCGATTTTATTTAAAAACTATGTATTTGAAAATATTGCAAGGACACATTTTTAAAAGAGAAAAGTATTAAAAGGTCTAAATGCAGTTGTCAGTAATGCTAGCACTCAGAAGACTGAGACTGGAGGATCTCAAGTTCAAAGCTAGTGTGAGCGATACAGCAAGACCTTACCTCAACCCTCTTCTTCCAAAAGAGTACTATCAGAGTTGTAAGGAAAAGCAGCAGCCTCTCCCCACAGCAACTGCCTGTAGGTCACTGCTTCCAGCTCCTTGGATATTTAGCTGCATGTATTATAAACGATGTATAGTGGTTTCTTGATCTGTTCATTTTAGCTACTACCTATGGATCTGTGGCCATAATAAAGACTTAACTCATAATACTTCCCATTTCCTTTTCCTCTCAGTTGCATGGTTATATCATACATTTTGGTTGAATCTATAGTCCAGATATTATGCTTATTACACAAACACTGGTCATTGCAGAACCAAATAATGTACAGTGGTCATACTTTCCTGCTTGTATAACTCTTTAATTTTTGCCTAGAGTTAATAATTAACTTCTTCTGAGTGTTGTGCATGCCTGTAATCCTAGTACTTGGGAGGCTGAGGCGGGAGGTCTGCTATGAATTAGAGGCTCTCTGGGCTACATGGTGAGTTCAAGGCCAACCTACGTAGGGAGACCCTGTCTTCATAGTAATCATGATGATAATAACTTCATTCCTATTACTTGATTTCTTTTTTTTAAAATTATGTAATATTTTTGGCCTAGTTTTCAATTATCTCCTGATTCTTAGTGGTTTTTTTTTTTTTTGAGTGCTTTGCCATCTGTATTGATATTTTATGTATAGCCATAAAGCAGTGTTTGCTTTCCTTCTGGGAAATTCTCTCTTCTGTTCCTATTCAAGCAGTCCCCTGTAGACCTGCTGTCGCCCTAGACTGCAGTCTCACTCCTCTGCTCTGTTGGTTTTCCTGTTTCTTAAATTGATAAACTCTGGGCTGGGGATTTAGCTCAGCTGCGTAAGTGGCTACCTAGCAAGTATGTGGTCATGAGTTTGATCTCCGGTACCAAAAAAAAAAAAAAAAAAAAAAAGAATTCTGCATCTTCCTTTGGTTTTTATTAGTGCACTCCCCAAAACTACTGCAATAAGGGTACATAGAAATATTTTTAGATCTTTCATATCTAAAAATCCTGTCCTCATACCTTACTGAGACTTTAGCTAGGTTTATATGGAATTCTGGGTTGGAAATCACTTCTCACTCTGAGCTGTAAAGAACTAACCCCAGCCTCTTCTGATGTCCAGTGCTGCTGTTGAGACAGGTCTGCCATACTGACTCCTAGTCTTTTGTATGTTACCTCTATTTTTAAAAAGATCTCAGGATCTCCTCTTTATCCTTAGAGTTTCGAAGTTTTAAAAGGATCTGCCCTTATCTAAGCCCTTTTTCCCCATTCATTTGTTTGCTCACTTAGTGGACTCTTCAGTCCTAAGACTTTTTATTCCATTCTGAGATATTTTCAAGTATTACTTCTTTTCTTCCATTTTTCTGGGCGGGGACAGGGGCGACCAGGAATCGAACTCAGGGCCTCACACTTGCCAGACAGTTGCTGCATCACTGAGCTACATCCCTACCCTTTTCCCCCATTTTTGGCTGGATGATGAACGCTCAGAATGGGTCCTCTAATTTTTATCTTTTTCTTTCAGATATTTCCCTTTATCTTCCTGTACTATTTTCTGAAGTTTTCGTGAACTGTTATCTATCTTTTTTTGGGTGTTTATTTTTAAATGTTCTGGATTTTTAATAGCCAAAAGTCCTGTTTTGTTATGATT